ACACCAAGATGCAGTAGTCTGCTATCAGTCTGCAACTGAACAGGGTCAAGTTGGCAATTGCATACAATCTGTTTCTGATAATTTAGATATAAACTATTTGTTGAAAATCATATCTTGCTATGTGGACATAAATTTGCATTTAACAGAAATTCACATGAATTGTCGTATTTGTACACAGCAACCTTTCTGTTCTATGGGAATATGACCATAATACAACCAGTTGTCTGTCAGCCAAAATGAGCCCTCTTGTTCGTAGTATCCACAGAGTACTATTTTAATATATTTAATAAAATCTTGATGTTTGGTCTCCCTGCATCAATACCATATCTCCATGCAAGATATCGTGATACTGTTCTAAATCAATTCTTTGCCCTGATCCTACAATTATGAGACGCTGGTTTAAATGTCCTCTAACATTACCCCAGTGAGTATGTACCATTCACTAAACTAGTGATGTTTAACTGAAAGAATAGCAGTCCAAATCTATGGTGACTATCACAAAAGGTGGCACTTGTATGATACATGATCCTGCGTCATGCCCAATAAAGCCAGTTTCTTACAACAGCTGACCTTGGAATAATATCCTCCCTCTGGAATAAATAACTGCCTGAATGTGTCACCAAGACGGCATGACTTGCCCAGAAGGACCTTGCCCCAACTAATCTACAAAGAGCACATTCACAATAATGAACAAACATGTTTTTTCTTTTTTCCTGTGACGCAGAAGAATATTTCCAGGCCTGCTGTTTCCTTCAGCCAGAACATTCGAGTAGATCCACTGGGCTCATATCCAGCACTATATTTGTTTTCGGACTCCAGCGTTTTATTGTGTAAAATAATGCCCATTTTCCTTATCAGACTTTTTCAAAACTCCAAGTTGGGGCAGTGACTGTGCATGTTCCCACGATTGGTTGAGATATAGTTGTAGTACATTCACATACTAGCACATGTGTGTCCATTATATTTGATATAGATACATACAAATTACTTAATAAAGATTTTAAGTTAAAATAAATTAAACTTATAACAAAAACTGTTAGTAATTTATTCATTCTTTTGTTTATTATTACTTTTTTCTTTCAAAATCAAAGCCTTTTTTATAGTATATTTGATTTTTGACACTTTTATGGTTTTATGTGCTACTAGTGTAATACACAACTTGGACAGTAGGAAGTTCTGTACTAAACAAAGTAGTTCAAAACACGGAAAATGAATAACTTTTCTCTGACATGTCACCTGTAATATACTGGAATAAATATTAAACAATCTGATTATGTCTGAGCTGCTCGGCAAATTTACCGTGAGGCCCAAAGGAAGACTTTGCTTCACTTAAGTGGTCGGAAGCCAGAAGCATTGTGGTCCACTTTTAACTTGTACGTACACATGCTGTAAATACAAAAATCACTCATGATGTTTTCCAAGTCCAGACATGAAATCAGCTTCAATTCCAGATTTTAAATTCAAACATGAGATTGGAGTGAGATCCTTAAAATGTGTAAGTGCATTAGTAACAATTGCATTAGTTAAAATCTTTTCAGTTTTGAGTCCTGAGAGCAGAGCTGTAATCAGCGAGGCATTTTTTTAACTGCAGATTTACATCTTTTAATGGCAATGTTTCTTTGAGATGGATTTCAGTAAATGAATGTCTCTCTTTTTAATTTTCAATCAGCAAAAAGCCTCATTATTCAGTGGGATATTCAAAAAATCCTCCAAGTCTAAAGAACTGCTTCCATCTGCACAGGTAATGTTGCGGCTTTAATTATCCTTATTATGCTTATTTGTTTATTTTATTAATTTTGTTGTCTTTTCAAAAGCTTGGATCGAGGACTGACTTCCAACAGATTGCAGCAATTCGCTGTAACTAATTTTAATTAATTAACTTGAAACAGTCAAATGTATGTATTTGTAATCAAATTTAAAGCAACTTTTTAAAAAAATATAATTTACATACTTGTATCTCCAATTAATGATATATTTGTGGTTGTAATTATGCTGGAATGCTTAAAGGAATGCCTAAAATCTGCCAAAGAGGATCAGACAGGACATTATACTACAAATGCAAATCCTGTCAAGTCAAAACCTTATGTTATGAATGTCCCAAACAAGTAATGTAATGAAAATTATCCCACAGGAATTTTCTCTAAACCAAAAGTAGTTCTTAAGTTTGTATACAGATGAAAAAAAATGATTAAGCCCTAACAGTAAGTTTGGATAATCAGTACCACATGCATTGATAAAAGTAATATTTTCCTGTTTGTTTCCTCTTTTGCTTCAGGTTTTGTTTTGTTTTGTTGGTCATGTTTTTAAATATTTATAAGATAACAGGGAATAACAGTTTTCTGCCTTTGTGGCTTTAATTTCCTTAGTTTCATATAACCAAAAACACCTTTTTTTGTTTTTGCAGGCTGCCTTGACATTACAAAATCCTGAACTGTCTGCCAGCAATGACAGTTTAACCAGCAAGTCAAAGGTAAATTTGCTCTCTTTCTGTGATATACATATTTTTTAATTCAAATTTTGCTTGTATTTTAACATAAGCATAGAAATGATGATGTGCAGAATTTATAGCAATTGCTAGTTTTCAATCCTGTCCCTATTTAACTATCTGCAGATCTTATATATGTATAAACTATAACTACAAAACTCCACTAAATGCTTGTAACTGGGGAAAATCTTCAAAGCTACAATGCAACAGAGTAAAAAAAAAAATACATTATTTAAAAATAATTGCAATGTGGTTCATTAAAATAGCTGCTGCTATGATTTGCTTTTAGCCAATCATTAAGCTGGACTGTTAAATATTTAATACCTATAAATGATTTGGTTTTAGTTGGACTTCACAGAGAAAAACAAAATTCATGTAATCGCTGTGGATTTCCTACCTAGTGTTATGTTTTGAAATTCTTTTCTGTACATTTCTCTTCAGGATAAATCAGGTGAGCTGGGTGGATTACGGAAACTATCTCCCAAACCAAGACATGTGCGGAGGCCTTCGCAGGTTAAACACAATCTTTTATTACATGTCCTCCACTCACTGGAGGTTCATGCAGGAAATGCTACTAATGACTAACTGGCTAAACTGTGTATTATTATGTTATTTGTTATTTACTGTGCATTCTTGTGTGCTTCAGGATCTAAAGGACATCTCAGCCAGTAATGACAATCTGTCTGAGGACACCAATGCAAAGGTAGGTCTGATCAGCAAACAGCAATTTGAGATTCTCTTTTAAAGTTCCCATTTATGTCTTTATTAACAAAACTACATAACATCAACAAGAGGTCCATGCTAACATCAAAAGGCATTAGTCAAAATCTCTACAACATAAGAAATGCAACAAAGAAATACATCTTAATAAAAATGGTAATATTATCATTTAAATAACAGTATAGGGAATGACAATGCCTCCTTCTACTGACTACTTCTCCAGTTAACTAACCGCCTCTGTCGCTTGTTATTAAAAGTGCATTTACCACTTCATAATACAAAAAA